TGAACCGCGTCTCTACGTGCGATTTGCTTCTCCAACGACATGGAAGAAATCCTTTCCTAAAGAGACTTGTCACTGGAGACGAGACTTGGATTTTATACCAAAATGTGCATCGAAAACGAACTTGGTCAAAAGGAAATAGTCCCTCAATTGTTGCGAAGTCAGGACTTCATCCGAAGAAAGTTCTTTCGTGCGTTTGGTGGGACTGGAAAGGCGTAGTCTACCACGAGCTCCTTTCTCAAGGTGAAACGATCAATTCGGCTAAATATTGTAATCAACTCGATGAATTGAAAGCCACCATAGCAGAAAAACGGCCAGAATTGGCGAACCGACGCGGCGTCGTTTTTCATCGCGACAACGCAAAACCGCGTGTTGCGTTGCTCGTAAGACAAAAATTATTGCAGGTCGATTGGAACGTTCTACCTCATCCTCCGTACTCTCCAGACATTGCTCCATCCCGATTATTACTTGTCCTTCTCGTTAAAAAATTCTCTCCGTGAAAAACGGTTTAAATTCGTAAGCGAANCGCGGCGTCGTTTTTCATCGCGACAACGCAAAACCGCGTGTTGCGTTGCTCGTAAGACAAAAATTATTGCAGGTCGATTGGAACGTTCTACCTCATCCTCCGTACTCTCCAGACATTGCTCCATCCCGATTATTACTTGTCCTTCTCGTTAAAAAATTCTCTCCGTGAAAAACGGTTTAAATTCGTAAGCGAAATAAAAACGCACCTTGAACAATATTTTGCAAATAAGCCTCAACAATTTTGGGAAGAGGGCATAATGAGGCTTCCTGAGAGATGGAAGAAGGTTATAGAACAGAACGGTTCATATATATCATAATAAATCCACCTTAAACAAAAAATATCGTGTATTCATTTCGCATCAAAAAAAGGGAAGAAACTTATGGGACACATTTGGGACTGAATGCGATTGAAGGTTTCGTAAAGACCCTCATTCGTTCTTAAGCGTCTCTCAAGGGCTATTACATCTGCCGTTGCGTTTTCGGACTCGAGGAATTTTTTAAACATGGTGAGTCTGGCTTTGACAGACCCGCGCTTTTACAGTTTCCATGATGTGTAAGGCTAACACAGATTAAATAATGGAAATGACTCACGGAATAGACGGGTTGGATTAGCGTGACCACGTGGCTTCCTCAAATCGTCCCTTAGGATGCCTGCTGCGTCCTGGCGGCTAGAGGCGCGTCCAGAGTTCCAATAGACAATGTCGTTCTGGATGCTGCTGCTTTGACGATGGAAGCTTCCGTTGCGTGGCCCTTGCTGCAATCTCGAGTGGTCTTGCGCTCGAAGCGTGGACCCTGCTGACGACTGTCTCTTGCTCCCATCACGTCCG